TGTGGCTGCCTCCACCTGTTACATAATGACATATTTTATTCATTCTAGATTATATATCAGGTTTCTATGTTATTTATATTGTTTATTATTTCATATTAGATGAACTGTGATAGATAAATAAGCCGTAGCGTTGATGATAGCAAAATATTCAAGGAGTATTTTGTCCTGTCTCCAGACAAACTCTCGTTGGCCGCCGCCACCACACATATAATGACATATTTTGTTCATTCTAGAGTATATATCAGGTTTCTGTGTTATTTATATTGTTTGTTATGTCATATTAGATGAACTGTGATAGATAAATAAGCCATATAGATGATACTAGTGAAATTATTCAAGAAGTATTTTGTCTGGTCTCCAGACAAACTGTTGTCCACAGCCGACACCGCCCATACCACTACACGAATTACATATTTTATTCATTTTAGAGTATATATCAGTTTTCTGTGTTATTTATATTGTTTATTATGTTATATTAGATCAAGTGAGATAGATAAATAAGTCGTAAAGTTGATATTAGCAAAATTATTGAAGTACAGAATTCCACTGGAACGGATTAATTGCATCTCAATTAATTTAAATGAGAAAAATTTACTCTGCACACGAGCAAATCCAGTTGCGAGCAAGGCCATTGAACGGATTAAACTCGCAAGTAGAGGTTCCATTGTATTGCACTATACTAAAGTACTGTACATGGTTAATGTTGTATTGAGAAGAGGATTAACTTGTTACAGTCAGACCAGTGCATGTTATTTCAAATCTGGGACCCGAGTCTGATAATTTTACTATGGTTATGCCATTACACGTAAAGCACTGCTTGATTGTTACGTTGTTGTCATGCTTAAGTTTTCAAAGTCTGTATAGTAGGTTCTGCTGCTTTTTAGTTAGGTACTCATTAACATACACATTACTCTTTCTTGATTGAGGAACTTATTAGGTCCTTTTTTTACAATGGTGGAATGGAACCTTAACATAACACTTTACTTTTGACCCGGCCTGCCTAGCAGGCCTGGTCTGGAGTTTGCCTAGCAAACTCCTGATAGTAATACCTTGGCTGATCAGGCACTCACCTTGGATGTGAATGGGATGCTGCTAGTAATGTTGAAGGAAACACACTCGTTACCAAATAAGCTTTTATTGGGACGGCATTTTGCTCTAGCATTGAAGTGTTTGTCCTGCAACATTAGTCTTTCCTTCAGTCACTGTGGAAGTCAGGTCACAGGCTGAGCTACAAGTTGAGTTATAGGAGTAGAAATCAGTTGGAAGCAGTCACATGCATGTCATATATACTAGTAATTTACATATATATAATCAAGTTGATTAAATAAAGCAAAATCTCACCTAATCTAGCTGGAATTAATTAACTTTAGAAATTAAAATTTCTTGATTTAATTTTTTTATTAAGGTCCATTATCAAAAATCTTATTAAAAATCCTTAGATGGACTAGTCCAAAATCTGCACACTTGGCAGGAGATGCAACATCCCCCAGTATGTCACCATTAAAGACACAGCATCATCAACACAGCCACTTGATACTGGAGTTCCGCAGGGAAGTGTCCTTGGACCCCTGCTCTTCCTCATTTAAATCAATGATCTTCCAAACGTATCCCAACACCTGAAACCCATTCTCTTTGCTGACGACACGACTTAGGTCATCTCTCACCCTAATCTTGCCACCCTCACCACCATTGTTAATGAGGAGCTGCTCAAAATATCAACTTGGATGACAGCCAATAAACTTACACTTAAAACCGACAAAACCTACTATATTATGTTTGGTAGCAGAGCAGGTGCTGCGCAACTAAACATTAAGATTGACTGCACTCTAATTGCCAGACATAATGAGGGCAAATTCCTAGGCCTATACCTGGACAACAACCTGAATTTCAGCACCCATATCCAACACACATCAAAAAAAGTATCCAAAACAGTTGGGATCCTCTCCAAGATACGATACTACGTGCTGCATAATGCCCTTCTCACACTATACCATGCACTTACATATCCATACCTCACCTATGCAGCAATACACCTAAAGCCAATAATAACTCAACAAAAAGCCGCAGTAAGAATAATCACTAAATCCCATCCCTGGCAACACCCCCCCCCCACTCTTCATAGATCTAAACTTACTCCCTGTTCAGAACATCCACACTTACTACTGTGCAATCTACATATACAGGACCTTAAATTCCAATATTAACCTTGACCTAAAATGCTTTCTTGATAGTTGTGACAGGACCCACAAGCATAACACCAGACACAAACATCTCTACGACATTCCCCGTGTCCGACTAAACCTTTACAAAAATTCAATGTATGTCAAAGGCCCTAAAATCTGGAACACCCCACCTGAAAACTCTAGAACTGCAGACACATTCATCACCTTCAAAACTACCATTAGAAAACATCTTATCTCCCTGATACACCCCGTCAACTAACTACATAAAAACCACCTGGTGGTTCATACTTACACTCACTCACCCATTTGACTATAAGCACAGAAATATGTATCTTAATCTTAAAATAATGATTCCTAACTAGTCACAAGTTAGCCTGTGATAGTCCAATATAGAAACTATGTATTGTGCCAAAACAAAAGCATTCACATTGCTAAACTCACAAACTAGTATTTAGTCACTTAGTATTTAGTCAGTTAGTATTTAGTCAACTTACTCCCCAATTTGTAATAATTTAGGGTTAAGAATTAATCTAAGTTTGCCCAAAATGCCTAGCCATGCTAGGTGTTCTAGTGGCCCCCTCTGTAATTAGTATTTTATTACATGTAAACCACACAATAACCAAAATCTGTAAACCCCGCATTGTAATCCTTATAGAGAATAAGCTTTGATTTGATTTGAATGAAAAAAGGTGCCACAAGTATGCTAAGAGATAACACAATAAGTGTCAAGGACCCAAGATCGTTCAGCTGTCTCCGCCTCCCAGAATACATAAGGGGGATTACCAATAGACCCCTGGCTGTCTTCAAGAAGGAGCTGGACAGGCACCTAAAGTAAATTCTTGACCAGCTGGGCTGTGGCTCATATGTCAGGTTTACATGAAGCCAGCAATAACCTGGTTGATCAGGACCTGATCAACCATGAGGCCTTATCATGGGCCATGCCATGGGGACAGTGACTCCCCCAAAACTCCCTCCAGGTATATTCCAGGTAAGGGGGATGATGCCTTGATGCTGGTAAAGGGCTTTTGATCTAGGACAGTGGTTCTTAACCTGGGGTGTCATGACCCCCTGGGGAGTCATTTGGGTTTTCTCGGGGGTCACAAATGGTTCGGGAGAATATAATTTATTTTCATATACGTACTTGAATTAGCCAGTTAGATTTTTACCAGTTTGGTGAGTGGCAACACTGATCAGATGTGCAGTGGTCTGCTACAGTAAACACATCAACCATGACCAGTCACTTAGTCAGTTCATAGCTATGGTGGAGGATGTCCGTATGTCGCTCTTGCTCCGTGACTCCCAAGGCAGTTTCCTGTTTGCACTATGTCTGCCAAGAAGCATACGTACAATGAAGCCTTTTTCAAGATGGGTTTCACAAGCATCATTCAGAACTCTGTGGTCAAGCCACAATGTGTTGTTTGCACCAAAGTTTTGAGTCATGAGAGTATGAAGCCAAGCAAACTGAAGGTCCATTTTGAGTCTTGATACAGCCATTTGGTGGACAAAAGCTTGGACTTTTTCAGGCAAAAGGAAGCTTCTCTGAAGGTCATGTATCGATTCCACTGGTCACTTTGCTTGTCAGAATGAAGCAGCATAATTATTCTAAAAATCGTGCAGACGAAGAAGCCTCATACCATTGGCGAAGACCTGATTAAACCTTGCATTCTGGAAGCAGTGAAGGTGGTCTTGGAGAACAGCAGGCAAACAAGTTGAGGGCATTTCCCTTTCAAATGATACAGTCAGAAGTCGGATCTTGGACATGAGTGATGATATTCTGCTGCAAGTAATGACTGCTGTGAGGAGTAGTCGAATGTATTCATTGCAACTGGACGAGTAAACGGTTGTTGCTTGATGTTCCCAACTTCTTGTTTATGTTTGTTACCTTGACAGGGAAGTTATGAAGGATAAGTACTTGTTCTCTGAATCATTGGCCACAACCACTTGTGGAGATCTAGTCCCCATCAACCTATCGCTGCAAGGTTGGATTCTCAGCAATGGTAACACTGAAAAAGAAGGCACGCAATAGGCTTGTGATCGATGCTGACATGAGGTGTTGCCTGTCAAGCAGTGCTCCTTGCTTTGATAGACTTTTGGCTGCAAAACAATTTCAGCCCTCCCACTGAGTGAATGAGAAGTAGGTTTTGTATGATCAATAGTTCTGTGGAATTTGTAATGTTCTGGCATTTGTAGAGGCTATGTGGAATTTTTCAGGGTTTTTGTTCTGTAGCATATTCAATAAACTATGGTCTTCCTATCATTTTGTTTCATCTTACCTTTTCACAAGGTTCATCATTTCAAAATTTATTATAGGGTTCATGAAGAGTCTCGGGGGGGGGGGGGGGTCATAGGACGAAAAAGGTTAAGAACCACTGATCTAGGGAGTTTAAGCTACACTCCACTCTCCTGAATAAAATAAAATTGTGCCTTCCATTTCTGAGTGTTGTATGCCTCTTAATAGGTTTATTGCCTTTCCATAAATACAGTAATTTTGAATAAAAATATTTAAAAAAAATTAATTTTTTAAACAAATTCCACATTTAAAAAATTATTTAATTTAATTGTTTTGTCAATATAAAAGTTGCTTGATTTCTGTTGTTCTGCATTTTCCATATTTAGGCCTCATCTGCCTGTTCGCTGTTTCAAGTACGGTAATTACTTTTATCTTGAAAAGATATTATTGACTGTTAAAGACCCTATACCTGTTGCATGTCCTGAGCAACACCACTATTTCTGGATTTGGCTGCCAAAAACATTTTCTGTAGTATACTGCATTTGTAAATCATTTATGCAAAATTTTGAAAATGATTTTTCCTGCAGAATGTGGCAGCTCTGTGTCCTCAGCCTCGATTGGTTGCTGTCACCAAAACTAAGCCAAAGGAGATGATAATTGAAGCATATGCTGCAGGCCAGCGACACTTTGGGGAAAACTATGTTCAAGAGCTAGTAGACAAGGGCAATGATGCTCAGGTAAATTTTATAATAATAATAATAATAATACATAATATAATATCTTTATTTCTACATATACAGTGGTCCCTCAATAATCGTCCGGCCTGAAAGTCGTCCATTTCAGAAATAGTCCCGTTATTTTGTCTAAACATTGGCTTGCAAATGGTCCGTTAACTTGCTAATCGTCTTTCGTCCTGGACGCGTACTCATGGCTCTGAGCCACCTATGCCTCCCTTCCCAGCCAGTGTGCCATTGTTTACCAGTGAGTGACGGTCCCCTCACCAATTCATACGAAATATTTCATAATACAGTGGACCCTTAACCAGCGATGGCATCGATTGACGATAAATCTGACTAGCGATACATTTAAACGCAAAAATTTTGCCTCAACTAGCGCTTAAAAACCCAACCAGCGCTATTCGTTCCGTACCATACGCGTCCACTTTGGCCTGAGCGCGCCTCACTTGTCCCTTGGGTGTCAGTGTTTACAAGCCAGCCAGCCACCGCGGTCGCTTCCAAACATACAACAACTGGAACATTTCATATTATCACAGCCTTTGTAGTGATTGCACCTGCAAAATAAGTCACCATGGGCCCCAAGAAAGCTTCTAGTGCCAGCCCTACAGCAAAAAGGGTGAGAATTACTAGGAGATAAAAGGAAAGAGATCATTGCTAAGTATAAGTTGAGTGCGTGTCTCTGAGCTGGTCAGGTTGAAATAATAAACCCCAATCAACCATCGCTACTATTGTGGGTAAGAAAAACGGCAATCAAGGAAGCTGTTCTTCCCAAAGGTGCAGCTGCTGCTTGCACCACAGTCACTGTTTTGTTTTTTGCACCCCCATCAGCTGTATTACCGAAGATGGGGGAGAGGAGTGTTGTTGGTGTGGCTTAACGTGAAAAAATTACCGAGAAACGATTAACCCAGAGGGTTAGCCACCCAGGATAACCCAAGAAAGTCAGTGCATCATCGAGGACGTCTAACTTATTTCTATTGGGGGTCTTTAATCTTGTCCCCCAGGATGCGACCCACAACAGTTGACTAACACCCAGGTGAACAGGAAAAAATGCCTGGAACTAGTGCTCATATTGGTGAGGTTAGTGGGGGAGATGTGGAAGATTTTGGTGGAGGAGGACAATGAAGAACAAACCACTGATGAGCTGCTAGATCATCTTCAACAGTAAGAGGCCACACCTGAGGAAACTGCTTCAGAGGAGGGGAGAGAGAAATTGAAGAAGTTGCCTACTTCAAAGATAAGGAAATGTGTGCAATGTGGCTTAAAGTGCAAACCTTTTTTGATGAAAATCACCCTCACACAGCTATTGCAAGCCGTGCTGGTGACTATTACACTGACAAAGTTGTGAAACACTTCAGGATAAAGGAACGAGAAAGGGACAGGCCTCTATTGACAGATAAAGGTGTGCGACAGAAGTCCAGTGACTCTGAAGCTGGTCCTAGTGTCATTAAAAGAACAAGGGAAGTAACCCCAGAAAAAGACTTGCTGCCTCAAGTGCTAATGGAAGAGGATTCCCCTTCTAAAAACTAACAAGATCATCGGTCTCCCCTCCTCCCATCCCATCAATCATCACCAGATCTTCAATAAAGGTAAGTGTCATGTAACTGTGCATGTCTTTTTCAGTTTGTGTGTATTAAAATTAATATTTCATGTGGTAAATTTTTTTTTTTTTTCAATACTTTGGGGTGTCTTGCATGGATTAATTTGATTTCCATTATTTCTTATGGGGAAAATTAACTTGACTGACGATTATTTTGATTAACGATGAGCTATCAGGAACGGATTAATATCGCTGGTTGAGGGTCCACTGTATTTCATTCATTTTAGTGCTTGCAAGTACTAAATAAGCTACCATGGCTCCAAAGAAAGCTCCTAGTGCCAAGCCTTTGGTAAAGAAGGTGAAAAATACGATTGAATTTAAAAAAAACATCATTGAACAATATGAAAGTGGCGTACGTGTGGGTGAACTGGCCAAGATGTATAACAAATCCCGTACAACCATATCTTCCATCATAGCCAAGAAAAAGGAAATCAAGGAAGCTGCTGTTGCGAAGGGGTTAAATATGCTGACAAAAATGAGATCACCAGTACTCGAAGATGTCAAGAAGTTATAATTAGTGTGGATAAACGAGAAACAATTAGCAGGAGATAGTCTTATGGCGTCGCTTATTTGTGAAAAGGCTAGGCAGTTGCATGACGATTTGGTAAAGAAATTGCCTGCAACTAGTGGTGACGTGAGTGAATTTAAGGCCAGCAAAGGTTGGTTTGAGAGATTTAAGAAGCATACTGGCATACACAGTGTGATAAGGCATGGTGAGGCTGCCAGTTCAGACCAAAAAGCGGCTGAAAAATATGTGCATGAATTCAAGGAGTACATAAAGGCTGAAAGACTGAAACCTGAACAAGTGTTCAATTGTGATGAAACAGGCCTCTTTTGGAAGAAAATGCCAAAGAGGACCTACATTACTCAGGAAGAAAATGCACTGCCAGGACACAAGCCTATGAAAGACAGGCTGACGCTCATGTTCTGTGCTAATGCTAATGGGGATTTCAAAGTGAAGCCGTTACTAGTGTACCATTCTGAAAATCCCAGAGTGTTCAAGAAAAACAATGTTATGAAGAGTAAATTGTGTGTTTTGGAGATCTAATAATAAGGCATGGGTCACGAGGGACATTTTCATCGAAGGGGATTCCCCTTCCAAACAGTAATTCAATCTCTCTCCTCCTCCAGTCTTCCATACACTAAGAAGAATCGCCAATAAAGGTAAGTGTTATGCTGTTAATGTTTCATTCATCATGCGTCATTGTATTATTTATGTACTACATCTATATTTCATGTAAAAAAAATTTTTGTTTTAATACTTCTGGGTGTCAGGAACGGATTAATTGTATTTACATTATTTCTTATGGGGAAAATTGATTCGAAAATCGTCTATTTCAATAATAGTCCCACTTCCAGGAACGGATTATGGACGATAATTGAGGGACCACTGTACATGTACATGGTATACAGGTCTAGCTGACATCAGTGACATACTACTATATAGAAAGCTGCTTGTTAAGCAGTTTTGTCCCAGGATGTGACCCACACCAGTTGACTAACACCCAGGTACCCATTTTACTGATGGGTGAACATAGACAACCAGTGTAAGGAAACATGCCCAGTGTTTTCACCCTTGCCCTCAGCGTGTGAAGTGAGAGCTTTTGCCACCAGGCCACGGGCCAACATGGGGAGTGGAGTGTTTACAGTTGCTTTCTGTATAGTGAGAAGAAAAGTGTGATGTGAATACAGTGGTGCCCCGATTTTTTATATTTCCCATAAGAAATAATGTAAATCCAATTAATCCGTTTCAGACACCCAAAAATGTTAACAAAACATTTTATAGAGAATAACTAGAGTTTTACATACAGAAAACAATGAGAAATAAATATAAAGCACTAATGAAATGGATAAATAAACATTTAAATTACTTTTTACCTTTATTGAAGACTTGTTGGCATATGGAAGACGGCGAGGAGGGGAGAGGGAGGAGAGGTTATCTCTACCACCATCACTACTACCCTCTACCACAATTGCTACCACCCTCTACCACCATCACAACCACTACCACCCTCTACCACCATCACAACCACTACCACCCTCTACCACCATCACTACCCCCTCTACCACCATCACTACCACCCTCTACCATCCTTTACCACCATCACTACCACCCTCTACCACCATCACTACTACCTTCTACTATTGCAACCCCTGAATGGGTCACAATGTATATAATGTATATTACCTGTTCATATAATTTTATACTGCTTATATTTGCGGTATTAGCTAAATCATAAATATATTGCTTTATATTATTATTTGACTTAGTTATATTATTAGGTAGGATGTGACATTTATATATACACTGCTCATTGTTCGAGAGTATTAAGTAGCTGACAGCATTGTCTAACTACTGTAGTTTTCACTTCGCTTGTTTCGCTGCCGGCTTCTGTGTTGCTGGGCAGCAGCAGCCCACGGAGAGTCATGTGATCAGGGTGGGGTGATCACACCTCACCAGGAGTGAGTGTCTGCCTGTCCTGTGCCTTCTTGTTGGTTTGACGTGCCTTCCAACAACACGGCCTCTCCAGCTCTTCATTGCTGGCCCTTGTTGGAAGATCGTCTCTGTCGCTTTGTTGTTGTTGGTTCTGTGTAACTCTGTTCACAGAACATAGCCTAGACTTAGTGATTTTCGACGTTGTACTGAGATTGTGTGTCTCATAGACACTCTGAGAAACTCGGGTCCTGAGCTGTAGCTTCTGACCTAATTTGTACTGGTATCTGTGTACTGTCACACTCGGGGATTTTCTAATGCTGAACTTAGATTCGGTAGTACAGTGGAACCTCAAAAATCGAACGTAATCCGTTCCAGGAGCTAGGTCTAAATTCGAAAAGTCTGAAATTCGAAGCAATATTTCCCATAAGAAATAATGGAAATACAATTAATCCGTTCCAGAAACCCAAAAATATTCACACAAAAAAAACATTTTATAGAGATTAATTACAGTTTTACATACAACAAATACTATAGTTTTTAATTATGTATAGTAATACATATAAAATAACATTTTTACTTACCTTTATTGAAGATTGGTGATGACATCTGGAAGATAGGGAGGAGGAGAGAGGGAGTTGGGGTTAGTGTTTGGAAGGAGAATCCCCCTCCATGAGGACTTCAGATAAAACCCTCTCTGGGGTTTTCTTCCCTTCTCTGTCTTTTAATGCCACTAGGACCAGTTGAGAGTCACTGACCCTGTCCCACAAAATAATGTTCACAGTCCTCTGTTTCTGGCACCTCTTTAACATTTTCCCTAAAATGGGACATGGTTCTGTCACTGAACTTGTTGCAAAGTGGCTTGTTTCAGCTTGCTCAGGGTGGTACTTCTGCACAAAAATTTGGACATCATCCACTTGGAACAAATCTCCTTATTTTTTGAAGAAGGGCACCTCATCCACTCCCTCT